TGTGTGTGAGTTTCTTAATTTCGATCCAATATCAGGTCGATGTAAGGCGGGTTTCTCGTGGCCACACCCTGTCTATTAGTCTGTCAAGAGGGTTGGGAGGCTTTTACTCTTCGAGATATTTTAAAACATTTTAACTACGGTTGAAAGTGTTTTTATTGTATACCTGTAGCCCTTCTCTCGACTTTCCTTGCTTTCCTTAGTACTTGTGTAGCAGTGACTCTTTATGCTCCGCCTACAAGGCCCTTTTGTATCTGGCGCGGCTTTTTTTTTTTATATATTTTTAATTTGATATTCATGTTCTGTCATATCTGCTTCAAGTGCGTTCCAATAATTGACCACCCATACGGGGTATGAACATTTCTGTGTGTGTTTCTTAAATTATATGAGTTTCCAGTTTGCATCAGTGTTGTTGTTTTATCTTAATTTAAAGAGGATGTCCTTGTACACAGTCTTTTTCCAGTCATTATTTGTAGTTCTCTCAACCCGTAGACAAGAGCCCATGTCACTTGACACAAGAGGCAATCCCAAGTCAATTAGGTGTCTCAATTGACATTTATCACTATAACAACACAAGACTTGGGTTCTTTCCATAAATACTTAAGATTTTATATTTATCTAGCTTTTAATATTTTTTTAAGTCGTGTTATGCACGATTTATTTAAAGTAGAGGCCAAAATAGAGACCTCTATATGCGACTTTCATGGAGTTAAGTGTGAAATATTTGGTGTGATTACCTTAGAGTTTCTAGTAATGGTTTCTGATACACAAACAGTTCTTTCAATGCTCCTTAATAAATTTCCTGGGATAAGAGGAGAGGAGAGGGGGGTAAGTAGGGTTAGGAAGGGGGAAGGAACAAAGGGGGGACCAAAGGGATGGGGACAAGGGGGTAAAGGGAGAGATGGGGTAAAGAGACCCAGGTGCAGCTGAGTATTCCTTCTATATGTAAATGGAAATGTCTGTCTGTCTCTTCCAGATTGGAGGGGAGAGGGGAAGGGCAGGGAGAAGAGAGAGGACGAGGGGATAGTAGGGAGATGAGAGGAAAGAGAGGGGAGGGTGGCTGGAAAGAGGGAAGGAGGAAGAGAGGGGGCTGGAAAGAAGGGAGGGGAAGAGAGGAAAAAATGGGGTATAATGGGGGTGGGGAGAGAGTGACACATCCCAGGCACTACTGAGTACCCCCTCTTAGTGTGTACATATGAGAGATTGGAGGCCAGTTGGGGAAGTGGGAGAGGGAGAGAAGGGGAAAAAGAGGGGAGGGGGGGGCAGGGAGATGGGGTGAGTTAAAAGGGAAGGGAACTATCGGGGGAATGCACCAAGCCATTGAGACTATATAGCACTTGGATGGAATCAGGATAAGGTTTTAGGATGGAATGGGGGGAAGGAATGGTGCCCAACCACCTGGACTACCTGTTGATGATTTTGGGGATCAGGGTCCCTTCACCCCATTCTCTGACCAAGCATTCTGGTTGCTGGTTTGATCAGTCAGGCTGTTCGATGCGGCTGCTCACAGCCGGACATATGAGTCGCAGCCTGGTTGATCAGGTATCCTTTGAAGGTGTTTGTTGAGTTCGGGGATTAAATGCTGACCTGCATGAAGCGAGACCATCGCTCTACCATCTAACCCAAGTGGTTGGTCACTAGGGCTGGGTGTGGGAGAGAGTAGGAAGAAGAGGGAAAATTGTGGAGATGAAGGGGTGGGAGAGGATTGGGAGAGGGGCAATGTGGTGAGAGAAGAGGGAGGAATGGAGGTGGGGGAGAGAAATAGGAGAAGAGGGATGTGTGGAGAGAAGAGGGGGGGGGAAAGGGGGAGGTTACTTACCTAATTACCTTGTGGAGGTTCCAGGGATCAATGTCTCCCCCAGCCCGGTCTCCGACCAGGTCTCCCGATTGGTCGTCTGGTCAACCAGGCTGTTGGATGCAGTCTCTCTCCCTGTGAGGGATAGTGTTGTCTCCCTGGCCAGTCTCTCTCCCTGTGAGGGATAGTGTTGTCTCCCTGGCCAGTCTCTCTCCCTGTGAGGGATAGTGTTGTCTCACTGGCCTGTCTCTCTCCCTGTGAGGGATAGTGTTGTCTCACTGGCCAGTCTCTCTCCCTGTGAGGGATAGTGTTGTCTCACTGGCCAGTCTCTCTCCCTGTGAGGGATAGTGTTGTCTCACTGGCCAGTCTCTCCCCATGTGTGGGGTAGTGTTTTCTCACTGGCCAGTTGGAACTTAACAGGATGTTTGTAAAGTTCCTGTATCAAAAGGTCTGCTGTTGGATGCAGCCTGGCATGAATCACAGCCTGGTTGATCAGGTATCCTTTGGAGGTGTTTATCATGTTCTCTCTTGAACCCTGTGAGAGGCCGGCCAGTTAAGACCCTTACGTGTAGCGGGAGTGTTGAAAAGTCTTGGGCCTTTGATGTTGATAGTTCTCTCTCTTAGCGTGCTTATTGCACCTCTGCATTTCAATGGGGCTATTTTGCACATCCTGCCATGCCTCCTGGTTTCATGTGATGTTATTTCCATGTACAGATTTGGAACCAGTCCCTCTAATGTTTTCCAAATGTAAATTATTAAGCATCTCTTGCCTGCACTCTAGAGAATACAGATTTAGAATTTTTAATCAGCCAAAATAATTTAGATGTTTTATAGAGTGGATTCTAGCAGTAAAGGATCTTTGCAAGATCTCCAGTTCAGCAATTTCTCCAAAATTTGAGAAATATATTTAAAATATTTAAAAAACATTCAAATTTTTTTGAAATGAAACAAAACTTAGAGTAAGATGGACATTAATGTTTATTTTGTATACTTCCACTTTATTTATATATGAAAAGTTTTCTCCTGCTTTTTCTAATTACAAAGTCTTTGATCAGATCCTCTAAAGTAATCTTACGTAACACATCTGCTTCTATATTTGGTAGAGATAAGGCATCCAACCTGCCTTGCTGCATAGTTGTTCTGTTGGGATTATCAATATACTTCAACTGAGAAAATGAATGCACATCTGAGCAATTTGTGACCATTAATGTTACAAATGTTCAAAACCAAATGTCCTAAATGTGTAAAGGTACATTCAATATTACCTTCTACAGTTATTTTATAAAGTTCAGCATGGCTGGATCTTGGTTTTTAAATTTTGTTGCACTGAACTTATGATGCACATTTATGTGTGAAGCAGGTGCAACTGTTGAAGTTCAGCTGAGAAATTGGTGTTAAAAGTCCTCTGGGTAAGTATGAATCGGTTTTTGACAACACTGAGAGAACCTTTCAATTTCGGTAGACGAAGTGATGTTATGTATCACATCACTTAAAAAAAAAAAAAAACTTCGTTGTATATCTCTCCCCTCTCCTCATCTCAGTTTCAAGCTTGTTAACAATTGTATAAAAGGTGGTGATAAGAAATTTATCTCTGGCATTCTGATCTGCTTCTGGTGCATCTCCGTCATTGAGTACCTACTTTCTGATACATTTGCGAGTTTGAACTGCCTTTTAATCAACATCTGGTAGCATTTCCTTTGTAGCCGCTTCATGTCTTGCAAATTCATCTCGTGAAGTGCACAGTTGGGTCAACTAATAATCCATACGGATCTGCAAATGTTTTCAAGTTTACATCCTCATTCTGAAGAACTTGGCCTACTCTGAATATTTAGCGGTGGTTCCGAGGTTCAAGGTCCCCGTGGCCCGGTCTCTGATCAGGACTCCTGGTTGGTGGTCTGGTCAACCAGGTTGTTGGATGTGGTTGCTTGCAGTCTGACGTATGAATCACAGCCTGGTTGATCAGATATCCTTTCGAGGTGTTTATCGAGTTCTCTTGAACACTGTGTGGGGTCAGCCATTTATGGGGCAGTTCCGGATTCTAATTTTATTGTATTCCTTAGATCTACATCATTATGTAATGTACATCATTAACCTTTAGTATTACTATTTTCTTATTATTTATATTATTGTATATATGTGTGTGTGTGTGTGTGTGTAATTTTTTCATTTATTCTGGGAGCCCCATCTTGTGAAAATTGGTTCAGCTGCACTATTCGCAGTTATGCGTTTCCTTTTTTTCCATCTTTTCGGAAGCTTTCTGGCCTCTGAGTGTTTTATTTAAAAAAGTTTGTGGTGACAAAGTTCTCCGGCAGCCTCTTCTACTTCCTATTGTTATATAAGGTTTGATTTCTCTCCATTGGTCATATACAAGACTCTCCCTCTACATATATTGGTCATAACTGGCTGACCTGTCATGGGGGTGTTTGAGAGAGAACTTTATACACATCTCGATCCCCAAAAGGATACCTGATCAATGCGGGTGTGATTCATAACTCAGGCTGTGAACAGCTGCATCATGCAGCCTTGGTGACCAGACCACCAAGGTGACCGTTGGTGACCACCAACGAGGTCAGAGACTGGGCCTGGGAAATGTTGATCCCCTGAACCAACAACTGTTAGGCAAGTTGAGTTCCTTACACATACAGTATTGTTGCTTTCTGTGATAATACAGTACTGCTATTTTCTTTGGCCTTATCACGTGATTAAAATCACCACTATGTACCACAATTATCATCACATCCACTGCAATTACAACTGCTTCAACCACTGAAATTGCCCACACTTAATCACAGTGTAACCACCACAAGCACAAAACCTGCCTGCACCAATCACTACTGCTTGCAGCCACTAACACTGCCACAACCATCACTATTACTATTCTTCAAACACAACTTCCATTGCTCCTTTTCCTCCGACTTATTACATTCCAGGAGCTCATTATACCAAACTGTACTTGGTACTTTAGGTTTTCTTCATTACAGCACGCTGTACTCCACAACCACCATACACGAATAACACTGTACTTCTTAATCATCGTACTCTAATATCATTAGGTATTCCAGTCTGGGGTTACACTACCTTTCTTAACAACACTTACACAATTGACCCATATCTGTTTTGTTTCTATTTGAGATGTGAGTACAGTATAAATATAATATTTAATTTTTGATGATTTTAAACTAATACTGTATTACCTTTTCTTCCGCAGACTATGAAAAAAAAGTTTTTTGTTCTGCGGCGTGAAACTGGGCCTGACTACCCAGCACGTTTGGAGTACTACGACAACGAGAGGAAATTCCGTGCAGGTGCTCAGCCAAAGAAGTGAGTATTTACAAAGGATATTGCAACCTCTTTTTGTATTTTTTAAGTAGCAAACTAGAAGGGGTAGGACTGCTCAAAACATATTTTTGTGACAAAACGTGTAAATGTTAAATTTAGATCTTATCTAAAAAAAAATCTTATCTTATTGGAAAAAAATTAGAGGCAGTCCTGTTGGATAGGTAGGTATGAATAGATGTGGCGAGTGGGTAGTGACAGACATAAGTAGTAATAATAATTAACACGGTGGTTTTAGTCATAAAGCATTGTAATGAAAATCCCTTTTCTGCAGGCCACTCTGTGGCATTCCCAGAAATTAAGCATTGGTACAAATGTCTGACTTGCCAGATCTTTAATCTCATAAATTATTGTGATCATCTCAAAGCTCTCCCAATGTCCTCCCTAGAAACAAGACAAGAGAGAGGTCCTATAATATACACATGGTAAATACTAGAAGGTCAGGTCCCAAATCTACACAGTAAAATAACAACATACTGGAGAGAACAATAGGTAAGGAAATGCAGAATACAACCAGTTAACAGCAGAGGTTCCATAGGCACAATCAGTGAACACTGTATAAACATCAGAGGTCCACGGTTGGTCAACGTATTCCCAGTGAGTATAAGAAATATTACCAGCACAAACGTGGACATCTTCAAGAGAAAACTAGATACGTAGGTTTCTTAAAGCAGTACCGGACCAACCGGACTGTGGTGGGTGGATATGTGGGGCTGCGGGCTGTTCCAAGCAGCCTGTTTGGACCAAGCTCTCACAAGTCAAGCCTGGCCCCGAGCTGCACTAGGGGAGTAGAACAACACCTAGAACCCCATCCAGGTACAATCCAGGTATCCTTTGGAGGTGTTTATCAAGTTCTCTTGAACATTGTGAGAGGCTGACTAGTTATGCCCTGTGTGTAGCGGGAGCATCTTGAGCCTTTGATGATAGAATTCTCTCTCAATTTAAGCAATCCCTCCAAAGAGTCCTCGAGCTGGAGTATGTGCATCTAAAGTTCGGTTCCAATTGCACCTTTTCCTTAATTGTTATGATGTGACAGTTGAATAGTTTTAAATTTTAACCATCCCTTTATCGTGTCACTAATTTAGATTATCACTTTTGGCATCAATAAATTTTTGTAATATCAGCAAGTGGAAAAGTGTATCTTATAGTACAGTAGTTTCATTTAGTTTTTATAAATTGTAAACAAAATTTAAACATTATGTAACTGCTCTTCTTCATTGACTTTATTTTGTTTACTTGCAGGCCAATTATCCTTCGTACTTGTTTTAGCATTAATCGCAAGAAGGACCCTAAACACAGCCATGTCATTGCCCTGTACTCAAATCACGACTCTGTATGCATGGCAGCTGAATCCGACGCCGAGTTGAATGACTGGCTGGGCTTACTCCACCATCATATGCATGTGACTGGTGCCGATGGACAGTCTAGGAAAATGTATGGTATGTCGCTGCTTTTATTATAATTCCTTAATATAGGTTTTTTTTTTTACTAAGTTTCATCCTGCAGGCTGGTACTATTATAGATCCCTAAGCGAGTTCCATCCTTCAGGCTGCTGCTGTTACATATTCCCAAGTGAGTTCCACTCTTTAGTCTGATACAATTACATGGCCTATATAGATCCCCAAGCGAGTTCTATCTTTCACACTTCTCACTAAAGTTAGATTTGATTTTATCCGACAGCTACGTATCTAGAAATCCACGTAAGAACTAGTTCTGATATCCATGAAACACAAAATAACCACCATGCCACAAGGGGGGATAATAAAGTAGATGCCAAAAATTTTAGACCATTAGCACTATATCATTCTTTTGCAGACTATACTAGGCTTTTTGAGTGTAGTCAATATAAGGGACACTGCAAATCTCTTAACTGATGTAAATCAGGTCATTCAATTGATCACAGAAAACAAAATGTTCAGTTGTTAAATATCCTCCCAGTAAGTATAAGAAATGTTGCTGGAACAAAAGGGAAAGCCTTAAAGGAAAAAACTGGACATTTTTCTACAAGAAATAACTGACCAACTGGGCTGTAGTGTATACGTGGGCATGCAGGCTGCTCCAAGTAACAACCAATTGGACCAAGCTCTCGCAAGTCGAGCCTTGTCCAGGGGCTGGGCTATGAGTGGAACTCCCAGAATCTAATCCAGGTACAATCCAGGTACAATCCAGGTGAAGACAAGTTTCCGCTCCTCCTTGATGGTAAAAATTAAAATGTAAATATTGGAAACCACAAATAAAAGTCAAATTGCACTATAGAAAGAAAAGGCAGTATTAAATGTTTTGGAGAAATCATGTCGGAAGACCCCTACTTTTAAAGAACACAATAAAAGTAGTTGTAACAATTGCAAGAAAAATGAGACTGGATAGCAAGAACCTTTCAAACAAGATATGGCAAACAAATTCTTTTAAAGAAATGTGCTATCTAGGGTGGAGTACGGTTGTGCACTAACACAAAAAAATACTTGATCAATCTGGTTGTCGTTTATATATCAAACTGCAAACAGTGGCATCTAATAACTTAGTTGACAAACCCACCAACTAGGAGGCCTGATTTGATCTGGTACTGTACTCTGATACTATACTCTGATACTAAGCTGAGGGGACATTGATCCTCAGAACTGCCTCAACATAAGGCAGCTTGTACTAGCACCAGCACCAGTTGTGTGTGGGAAAAAACCCAGATTTTTGCATTCAGAGGTATGATCTATTTTTTTAGAGATTACTATTTTCAAAACTTAAATGGTTTGAAACACTTGGAGACTTTTGAGAGAGCTTAAAATAGAATTATTCAAGAGCAGAGGTGCTATAGGCACAATCAGAGAACGCTGTATAAACATCAGAGGTCCACGGTTGTTTAACACCCTCCCAGCGAGTACAAGAAATACTGCCGGAACAACCGTGGACATCTTGAAGAAAACTATCTAGTTTCTCTTAAAGAAGTGCTGGACCAACTGGGCTATGGTGGATATGTGGGCCTGCGGGTCGCTCCAAGCAACTTGTTGGACCAAGCTCTCACAAGTCAAGCCTGGCCTCGGGTCAGGCTTGGGGAGTAGAACAACTCCCAGAATCCCATCATGCCGGTATCAAGCAGATCTGTCAAGAGCTTGAACTGAAGCTTTTATTCCCCCATTCATTTAACCCTGGACCCTCAACATTTCAGCTTCAAGCAGCAACCTCCATCTATTCCCTCAACACCACTATTTTCACCTAGATATCATTCCAAGATTGTATGTGAAAGAACTGATCTTTGAGGGGATCCCCTTGCTGCTCATGGGATGTTAACCATACTGTAGGCATTTCTCTGGGTCTTTCTTTTTGTGCCTCTCAATGATTGCCTGTCTGCTACTGCTATTTTTCTGAGGGAAGGCACTTGTGGTTCCCTGAAGCTACTACACTGATACAGTGCTATGATGACTGAACCACACATCAGAAGATGGAGAAATGATGACATTTCGGTCTGTCCTGGGCAGTTATCAAGTCATGTGTTGGTTACATTACCAAGAACTGATGGTGGTCGACTGGAAGCTACCGTCTCCCCTCCCCCTAAATGAATTGGGGAGGTGGGATGAACAAACTTTCACTAGTTTCAAGAGATTTTGATAGTTTGTTTACATTGTTTGGGGATTTTTTTTCTCAGTTTAGAGGCTGCGATCTCATTTGAAGAGAGCAGTAGTCTGTTTTGTCTCGCTGGCTTTCTGGGTACCTTTCCTGGGGTGGCATAAATAAATATATAAATGTCACCATTCCCTGCACTTCTGTTGGAGGGCCAGGTTCTGGCTTTGGCCTCCAGTAGGTGATAGAACTCTGCAGCTGATGTAGTGACCTAGTAGTGGTACAGTACACTATCATTGATAATAGCTTCAGGGAGCCACCGTGACATGCACCCTGAAATTGGCATTTCATTACATTCAACGCTGGTTTTTTAAGCGAAACACAAGCATGATACGGTACTTTATATTGGTGTTTATTTGCTTCTTTTATTTCAGAACACGTCTGGTTGGTTTCAGTGCAGCCAAGAAGTCTCGGTAGCAGCAAAGGACTAACTGGAGAGCACCACATCTGTCTCACTTACAAGTCTATTGCACTCGTTAGAGTGGGAGACTGCCAGAAAAAAATTGAATTTCCAGTAAGTGAGGGTTGAAGGCAAATTGTAACTGATGTGTTTTTGTTTTAAGTTTTTCCCATGAGGGAAGAGATTTAACATAATATTGTTAGTTGTTTTAAATACAATAATCTTAGTGGTAGCTTAAATGGATTAGTTTGATATCTCTAGATTTTCTGTGTACTGTCCTGGGTTTGTTTATTTAGAAAGTAATGAGTGTTAACTTGAGCAGTTAGACTTGATTACCTAAGCACTACAATGGAGGAAGTAACAACAGGAAGAACCATTCAATGTTCAAAAGAGAACTTGATAAACATCTATAAAGGATGTCTGATCAATCTGGCTGTGATTCATATCAGACTGTGAGCAGCTGCATTGAACAGTTGACCAGACCATGAACCAAGAAGCCTGGCAGTGGCTGGGCTGTGGGGACATAGATCCCCAGAATCAGTACATGGTAAACAGAAGTCACAATGTGACTGCTCATTGAGACCACTTCCTGGGATTCTCTCTAATATAAAGTGATTTGCCACATTTTCTATTTTAGGTAATGTAAACTTGTCACCAAGCAAAATAACAGTTCAGTTTGAATTTGTGAGGTTTTCTCGGCAATATTTGATTTTCAGTAGTTGGTCATTAAACTGCTTTAATGAGGACTTATATACAAAGACAATAACCACATTTAGGATTTTGATTATCAGAACTTCCATTATATCATTTGTAGTATTGTGCAGTCACTGATGTACAGGCTTACCCCACCCTGTAACATGTGTTGTATGATAAATCTGGAAAAATTGTTTTCTGTTATCTTTGTCACTTTCATAGAAGTCTTTTGGAGAGTTTCAATTAGAGCTGCAAACATTGCATTTGCTTCATTGAAGGGCCAGTTATAAAATGGACTTATTTTGAGTTTGCCTAGTATGATACCTTTTATGTTGGTAAATATGAATGATGTAGTAGTTGTCTATTTGGTGTGCTCACATCCTTTCCTCAGTTTGTTTATATTTAATAGTTTATATTTCAAGATCTGCAAGCATTGGTCTTTGAGATCTTCTTTTAATCAATTTTAATTAAAGTAATGCCTTGTTTAATGTATTTTTCTGCTTGGGTAATTTTTAATATTAAGTTCTTCAATTCTTCAGTTGAATAGCATCCGTCGATGTGGCCACACGGGATCGTTCTTCTTTCTTGGACTTGGACGATCAGCCGTCACTGGTGCTGGGGACATCTGGATGCTAACGGAAGATGCTGTTATTGCCGAAAATATGCACAGCATTATAAGAAAGTAAGCCACTTGCAGTGTGTTAATCATCAAAAGATAAGTTCTCAATATTGGTGAATTCTGTCTGTGCCCACCATTGATATTATACAAAAATCTCTCTAATGCATAAATTTATATTTTGCCATGTAGATGTGTATTTACTGTCCAGATTAATTTATGAATGTTACAAGTAAACAGTCACCTTCATAGGTAAACAGCATAACCATATTCGGAGGAAAACAATGGTATGAGACCATGTGATCTGACTATAGGGAAACGGAGAGTCACTCTTGGAGAGTGAGTGAGAGAGAGTAAGAATTATATGAATAACTCAACAAGAGGTTCCAGGAGGCCTACAAACCTTAATCAGATTGGCGTCGAAGGAGGAGTGATGACAGGTGACCAGACGCAATGCTAGACAGAACTAAAGTTTATGTAGAAGAGATAAAAAAGACATTTAGAGGAATGTAGCAAAACTAGTAGGACCAGACCAAATATTGCCGTGGTTACTAACAGAAGCTGCAGGAATCTTTTGTTATGCATTAACTATAGTGTTCAACATTACACTAGACAGGAGAGAATTTGGAAAATGACAAATGTAAATTGTAGTTCCAATATATACAAGAAAGTCTAGTGTCATTAACATGCATTCTATGCAAAATGCTGAAAAGTCATTAAGAAAAGGATTGTAGAACATTTGGGGGAGTAAATTTTATAATGGGCACAATCCAGCTTTAGAGAGGGAAAATAATCTCTTGACAAATTTGATGAAATTCAATGAATCACTAAAATAAGACAAGAGGAGGAAGGCTGGGTAAACTGCATCTTCTAGACTGTCTGAAAGCTGTTGGCACAGTCTCGCAGAAAAGATGGCTATAAAGATGGAGATAAAATTAAGAATAAAGGGAAAGGCGCTGACTGGATACGGAAGTTCCTGATGGCCCTGATGAGACAATTACTGTAGTATGTAGCACCATCATGGAACCTACATAGTATGAAGCATAAACACAAACTTGACAAAATTCAGAGGTTTGCAACTAGATTACCTGGAGCATACATGGATGATTAGTACTGGAAGTGAGATAACTCATCTGTGACAGGTTGAGAAACATGGCCTCACAACCTTAGGGGAGAGAAAAAACAAGATTGGAAATGATCACTACATATACAAGTCTGAAGGAGAATAGAAAAAGTGGATAAAGTAAACCTACATTAATTAAAAGGAGTTAGGACAAGGGGACATCAATGGACACACAATTGAGTCGAGATGTAAGGAAGTTCCCGTTCCCAGTATGAGTAGCTGGCAAGTAGAGTGCACTAAAGGAAGAGGCTGTTGAAGCCAATTCCATCCACAGCTTTAAGACAAAATATGAAGAAAGTATTAATGTTGAGAGAGAGAGAGAGAATTAGTCTGCCAGGTATAAATTGCTAGGAGGTAGATCCTAGAGGGTCATAAAGAGGTAGACCTCACTTCCCCCCCCCTCCCCCCCCCCCATAGACACCATCATAGGTGAACAGTCACCATCATTAAAAATTAAAGTAGAAGAGTTTAAGACTCGTGAGTTACATGGCTGCACACAGTGAGCAAGACAGGTTCAAAGATTATGGTGGGGGCTTTTGGGAAGATTTCTTAAATGTCTTGACCTCCCTTTGAGCCAAGTTTCTTGGAAGAAAAGCATCAGGTACTTGTAGTATTAGGATCGTTATTATTACCACAAATAACTACCTACCTTGTGACACCCAATAATTTTTGTTTTTTTTTCTTTCAGAGCAATGCATGACCCTCTTAATAATATGAGTGAAGACTCTCAGACGCGTGAGCGTACCCATTCTGTTTCGAATCATCGCTCATTTGATAGTGGTAAGCAAGACCCAGATATTCTGTGTAAATTTTAATTGCTAGATGCATTGTGATTAATACATGAGCCTGCAAGCAGCAGTGTCTAACAACCTGGTTGACCAGACCACCAACCAGGAGGCCTGGTCAGAGACTGGGCCATGGGAACATTAATTCCAAGAACAAACAGGTAGAATAGGGACAGGTACTATTAAGATCTCTTAAAGTTGATTATTGTTCACATGATATAGAGTATGAAATTTTTTGTCATTGCTACTAATTTCTGTACATGAATGGCTGGTGTTACCTTTCAAAAGCCATTCATTTCTGTACATGAATGGCTGGTGAAAGGTAAAATCTCTTTAGTTGGGTTTTTCTGACTGTTGTCTATCACACAAGATAAAATTTAAATTTTGCTGTGAAATTTGCCCACAATGTGTGGGGAAAATTAGGGTTTGAATGCTAATCCATTTAATAAGGCTCTATTCATGTTTTGAACAATTTTGAGTTGTGTCCGAATGAGGAAATGTGGTGTGTGAGAGTAGGTGTATAGTGTGCGAGTTGTACCATTTTTCTACAAATTTAGGAATGGTTCTATTGCTTACTAATGATGTATAATATTTTGTAGGTAGTGGTCCATGCCACATGCGTGGCCGTTGTGACAGCATGCCCTCTCGGAGTCGCACGAGCAGTGAGGGATCTGTCCAAAATGTTCCCAACAAGTTTCATGGCCATAACTGCTCCCACCAAACGGATGGTTCCATGGCGAGCTCTCTCTGCCTGCACGTCACACGACCTAAGTCTATGTACTCCTCTTCTCTATCATCGTCGTGCTCTCCACCTTTTTTTTCTGCCTTGTTCAGGTATTTGTGTGACCCTTGGGCGACCCACCCAGTACTTTTGTACAGGCTTGTTTTTAAGCCCACAGTCTCGAATTTCTGAGATTTTTTGTATATAGTTATTGCTCCAAAAACAAAGAATTGCATATATTGTCTACAACAGTGTCATAAAGATGAAATTAATTTTACTATTTGATGCAAAGGTCTTATAATATAAATTTAAAATAATTTTTTTTTATTTGAACATTCGTGTAACCTTTTTTTTTGTATTTAAAAGGATATAAATTTTGTCATGATGGTTGCCAGCTAATCTAGTAAGGTACTGATATAATATTTTAGCAATGCTTTGGAAATAAAGTGCTGCTTCCTAAATACAATACCCTGTACTAGTAGTTGGCTAACGTAGGCTGGGTCGTTCTCCGGGCACCATGTGTGGCTGTTTTTCTTTCCTGTGGTTCCTTTTTTGGCTGCTGATGCTACTGTATTATTTATGCTTTATTATCACGTAGCTGATTTCTACTACACTTGCTGTGTGCTGTTTGCTCACTGAGGATGATCACCAATATTTTATTTATACAGTGTATGGCATAACATTTGGAAACGTTTGTAGCAAAATATAATTTACTTGTTTACGGTGAAAAGTAGTGAATAATTACACTGAGAATTAGTCACGTGGGATGGAATCAAATATTCTGAACTAGCCATGACCTAGCCAAGGTTTACAGTTCCATGTTCATGTTAGACATGCGGTTAGTCACCATGTGGGTAACCATCGGATCACACTTTTCACTTTCAAGAGCATGAAGTCATTTCATGAGTAGATGCATGAAACAATGGCAAACTTGTTTCTGTACCTTACGGTGTGAAATGTCATAACTAGTATTGTGTTAACAATCTAAACCTTGTACATAGTGTTTTATCACAATCAGGATCATCTATAACACTTATCATCACAAAACAATTGCAGCTACTTATTTTATTAATCATTGATAAGTGGTGCTGTGGCCCCAACCTGCACAGCTGTGCTATGATTGTCGTTGTTTTATAATCAGCTACTCGGAACAAAAAGTTCCAAGTAGCATGGGCTATGGCGAGTCTGTAGTGGACTTACCTGGCACGGGAGTGGGGCTGTAATTGGCCCACCGGTAACCGGTAATGTCTAATAATCGGAGGATCACCTCAATCCGAGAGGTGTACATTGCCTAATGGACTTTTACATAGATTCAGTCAAATTAGTGAAGTCTATTGTACCTAGACATGGATCCCTTTTTCAAAGGTCATATTACAGGGTCATCAAACTCACCTGATGACACCTCCCCCCTCCCCTCAGCATGTCGCAGTGTTGATGGAAGGTGCGCTAATGTTAGGGAAGGCTAGCTTTAACTAGCCTATCTTTTAGAGATTTCCCTTTGACCCATGCTATCATAGGAGGTAAAGGTGGGAAGTTTTGCCATGCCAAATGTTCTATCCAGGTGACCTTAAGTCAAACCTGTAAGTCAGTTCTCGGTGTAAAGGTCCTGCTATTCCCAGAAAATAGAGTAGTAGGAGTGCTGTGAGCTCTCGCTGTATGTGCCTTGGACGCTCTGGCAGTACTGAGGCTCTCGTAGCCAGGAGGGATGCATCTGATTTTGGACTCCTGAGGAACAAGATGTGAGCCCCTGTATACCCGCTGGAGTTTTGACTTTTACGATATAGAACTAACAAATGTCATTAAGTGGGTGGCACGCCACCCTTTGCCCATGATAGCACAGTTTGTACAGTACAGAAAATGTATGTATGATAGTTAGCATTGTAAGTGTGTGGCAACATCTGTGGTATAACATTATAAAAAAAAAAAATGATGATTCCAATACATATTTTTCATAGCCTCATGGATACTGTGTGTGTACTTATCAACTAGTAAACCTGCAAAAATCTGTTGTACCAATTTAATGAAAATGTAAAACTTTACAATGATTGCAAGTTGAAGTTCATCCCCTCTGCTCCAAATTAACCCTATGCTGGGCACCAGTTGTCTGAAATTGCTTTGCTTTAACTACATCTGTGTGCAGTAATGGCAAGGCAGGATAGCAAACTGTTCACTGGTTATCAACCCAGAGCCGTTGCCAACGGCTCAAAAACAGAGGAAAGTGTCCTGAAAGATATTATTAATAGGGACGTTATCCCCACAGACACAGATCAGAAGATACAATTAACAATTTACTACAAAAATAAAAAAAAACGGCCAACCTACTCGCGAAGAACTCTCCAGACACCAAACAGATCACCTTGAAAAAACCAACGTCGTCTATGCCTTTACATGCCCACTTTGGGACTGTCAGCCCCTAAGATCTCGGTATATAGGCAAGACGACAACGTCTCTTTCTAGGCGATTAACAATGCATAAACAACAGGGCTCCATCAAGGAGCATATAATTTTGCTCACACAACCAGACCATCACCGTTGATTTGTTTCCTGTCACCTCGCTCAAAAACAAATATAAGCATGAAACGGAGTACATAAAAATTAATCTTTTGAAAATGTGGAAATCTTGCGAAATGCTTCTAGGCGTCAGACCATAAATAAAAATGTGAAAATGAACTTTTGAGAGTTAATTTTTCAATTACACTCGACAGTGAAGAAAAACGTAAGAAATATTGAGAAGATTCGTGTTGGAATCGTTAATCTTACCCTTTCGGTCATATTCAACAACATATACAGTATATATTTATAATATGCAGGCGATGAGTCACAATAATGTGGCTGAAGTATGTTGACCAGACCACACACTAGAAATTGAAGGGACAACGACGTTTCGGTCTGTCCTGGACCATTCTCAAGTCGATTGTGATGGGGAGGTAGGGACAGGCGTTAAATAGGCAAGAGAGAGCTGAGGAGGAAAGTCAGGTGTAGGGGATAGTAGTAATGAGAACTGCAGCAGGCCTGCAGCAGTAATGAGAACTGCAGGCCTGCAGCAGTAATGAGAACTGCAGGCCTGCTGCAGTTCTCATTACTACTATCCCCTACACCTGACTTTCCTCCTCAGCTCTCTCTTGCCTATTTAACGCCTGTCCCTACCTCCCCATCACAATCGACTTGAGAATGGTCCAGGACGGACCGAAACGTCGTCGTCCCTTCAATTTCTAGTGTGTGGTCTGGTCAACATATTTATAATATATATTTATATATACTGTACAGTTTATTTAAATATATAATGATGTATGCATGCATGCAGTTATATATTCACATGAGATGACGGGTAAAGAAACACAATGTTCAGAGTAGTGTGCTGGACTTGTTCGTAATGAAGGCTGTATTTTTGGAGTTTCGTGTATATTTTTTTATTGTTGATATTTTTTATAATTTTATGTGCATTTTTATTTTTACATATAGTATCTATAAGTACAGTATTTTGCTTGATTAGTCTTGAGTTGTCATAGTCTTAGAGTAGTGGCCATGTCTTGGTCACTTAACAGATGCAATGCACATTGTGTTGTTTTGATAGTTCTTATTAGTGAGATTCCACTGTAATTCAATCTAAGTTTTAATCTCTTCATGCTAAACGTCTTGGTACGTAAGTACATCTAAGAGAATTGGTAAGCTAAGAATGAAGAGGTGAGGGGGTATCAGAGGTGAGCAAAGTAGTGCTGGCAAAAGTATATGGAATAAATAATTTTGGGATGATTGGTCAAATTGTGAGAGCATTACAAAGGGTGGAAACTTGGAGAGGTGGAGCAGCTGTGAATAATGATTGGTTAAAAGATAAGGAATACAGATTGTCAGTGGAAGGAATTTGGGGTTGAGGAAGTGAGTTTATTTAAATTAAAGATTTGCTTGATGAATTGGATTTGCATGTTTACCGATAAATTGGTGATAAAAATTCATGTATGGGAAAATTTATTCTGATTGGTTCATTGTGTGAAAGTTGGGGCTAAATGTAAAGGATTAAAGGTTATATTGTTCTTGATTCATCCCATCTCCATTGGAAAAATATTAGAAAATAGATGATTATCAAAGAATTAGTTTGGAACTAATAAAATAATAATATATAAGCCTGAAAATTGAATGGTCACGATACTTGCATTAATTTGTTATTTTTTCATTCCAGAATTTTTAGTAAATAATACTTCAAATATTACTTTTATTTACATATAATTTCTTCCTCCTCCCCTTCTCATTTATGCACTCTTATCATGTAACAGGCCTGCACTGGAGCACTAGATACAAAAATAGCTGGAGTTGAAATTATTGTACAATTGTAAGAAATTACTTGAGATGAAAGGAAATACTGTGTCTGTGTTCGTGTTGAGATATGCTGTGATTATGCATCTTCAGCATGACTGAACAACATAGAAAATTTAAATAATACAAATTATACATAATTTATATTTCTTGCTTATTCTCATCATGAAATATATAAGATATGAGTTTAATTTTTGTTTTATCTTTTCTCAGTCCGAGTTCAAGCGAATCAATGGAGTCCGCAACTTCTGTTGACGACTTTGAATGCTTGCATTCTAACACTCCTGACAACAATGATGGCCTCTGTGAGTATAAAGAGGGGTTTAAACAAGCATCAAGTTTATATTGACTCATTAACCACTGTATCCAATGGCATCATTGACCCTCATGCCAGACCCCTGACTCGGGGATCTCCATTTGAATAACTAAAATCGAATGTTTACCTCTTATACCCTTAGGTTATCATCATATAACCCCATACGGTTATCATCAACATATGTTGATTGACGGGGGAATGTAGTTATCATCATATGGCGATTTAAACAATTATTGTCTGGGTTTTACATGTATGATGCACATGTATGATGCATTTTAGTGGGCTGAAATGATGGAAAAATTACTAGTGTAAATTAAAATGAATATTTCAAAAAAAATATTCAGCTTGCATATTTTGTATACATGGTAACAAAGCACTGCCTAAATTGAATACATTATAACTTAATGTATTAACAGGTGGTAGTGAGGAGGACAGTTACATGGCCATGGGACGAGTAGGGAGTACGGAGAGCAGTCATCAGCACCGGGAACTTCCACAACCTCCGTTTTCTCTTCCTATCATCAGTACTCGTCCAATGGGTTCTTCACAAAGTAAAGGTTATAATTTTGCATTTTTTAATAAATTATAAGGGTTCAAATTAATCATTTATTTTTTATAAATGTTGAATCTTGATAACAAATAACAGTTGCAGGAAAACACACAAGGCAGTACAGTACTTTTTACTAGTAAACTCAAGAACAACAGTGCATCTTTCATTTAGTAGCTAAAGTTAAATAATTACACTTATACAAAGTGCAGTAATTGAGACCAGGGCCACATTATTCCAGCTGGACCTTTAATGTTTCTGGTTTTTGGCCCCAGAAAAGGCATCTTTATTAGTGTAAATAATAAAACATAGATCCACATACAGTATACATTTAATTATTTACATGGACAATGTAAAACATAAGGCAGTTCGTACTTCCAATTTTGGAAGTATTGACCAAAATTGGTCAGTACAAAACCAAAACCACATGGGGGAAATGGAAATTATTATAAAATATGAAATGTATTTTCCAATCTCCAATCTGTATAAGTTGAAGTGTGTTAAGACACCTTATCTGGATAAATAATTTTTAGTGAACATGTAGGAATTCTTGTGACTTTCAGATTAAGCTGAATAATGGTCTGTTGTGGATAAATGTGTGGCATCGTGAGTTGTGTGTGTTGTGTATGTAATCACCTAAGTGACACTACAGGATGAGAGCTGTGCTCATTTTGTCCTGTCTTCCTGGTTCTCTTATAATAATGCCTTGAAACTTCTGATGGTTTTGGTATCCCTCACCTTCTCACTTGTTCCAAACATCTACCCGTGTTTGCATAAGAAAACTTTCTTACATTTTTTTGCCATCTTAGTTTTCTTGGCTTGAATCAATAACTTCTAGTTTTATCATAACGGGAGGTGTTATGATAAAATTATATTAAAATTTATAACTATAAATGTCTTTTATTTAGTATGCCTTAATACATAATAAAGTAATATTTTACATTGCTTAATTCTCTTGTTACAGTTGCAGGTGTTGTATCACCAGTCAGTGGGAGTAGCATAGATGGCCATTGCTTATCTTCCCCTCAAGACAACTACCTTGAGATGGCCAGTCCGTCTGAGCGCATGCACGCAGGTCTTGTTGGTTCCCAGCCAGAGCGAGGGGGCTATATGTATATGGACAAAACCCAGCCCCAACCACAAGGAAGCTCAGCCTCTGAAAACTGTGGCTATATGTCAATGGGACCCCTTAATTCGCCTGGGTCTATTCCTACTACATGGCCATCACATTCCTCTAGTCAGGTAGTCTTAATGAATCTACTCATTGTAATATATGGGGAAGTTGACAGTGCAGGAGGAAGGGCAGACTGTTTGATATTCAAGGCCACAGGTACAATATTACTTAATTTAATGGGTCTTAGATATACAAGATAGGGAATTGTTAATATAAATTAATATATACTTGTTTACTCTAGCATATGGTTATCACCCTTCTGTATTCTAGAAAAAGTTAAAACCAAATGGGTAGAACACCTGGAAAGTAATGACATAATAACACAGTATGGTTTATAAACAGGAAGATCCTGTGTAACAAATCTTAGTTTTTATGAGAACCACAGAAATTCTACGAGAAAGAGATGGCTGGGTTGACTGTCTATCTGGACCTAAAACAGGCTTATGATAGTCCTACACAAAAGGTTGTTCTGGAAACTGGAACATGCTGGAGGGGTGATAGAGACTCCTGACATGGATGAAAAATTTTCTGACAGGAAAGATGAGGGTGGTAATTAAGATGCAATGTCACAGAGGCAACACATACCTAAAAGGTTAAGGAAATAATTCCTGCCTTTCCAATTACAAGTGTAATCTCATTAGGTATCATTAGCAAGGGAATATCTAGACCAGATTTCTAGCTAGAGGGGCAACAGGAGCACCTGTTTGACTACCATCCTAAATTTACAGGTATCTTCGCCACCACACTCGGCTAGCCATTCACGCATTCCCAGTGTGGTGGATGATACCACGGACAGCTACCTATCCATGGTACCTGGAGGTCACCTAGGAGACATGACCACTGGTGAAAACTTTGGTCAAGACCGCTCAGAGGGCTACTTAGATATGACTCCTACGCCTGCTGTTCCTACACCCATTCCTTACAGCCCATCTGATGGTATGTGCTTATATCAAATACTTAAATGATCTGTAATTTTGTATCTTTAATGATGTAACTGTAGAATAATTTAGTTAGTATAAAATTAGCTGACGGTATCAATGAATTTCATGTTTATATTTGACCTGTTATGAGAAACTGATCGTCTAATTTTGCAGAATTTATTACATATAACTAAATCTCTCTTGTGGAGTGGAGTTGAGTTCTTCATTGTACATTTCAAGTGGTACAGCTTGGTGTGTGTTATTCCAAGATGTAGAAATTGAATTGAAATTGAAATACTCTATTTGTAAATGTTTTGTACATTTATAGTTGGGTTAGTTTATACAAATTGACACCAAATTATTTAGTTAAGAGAAAGTCATAATAACAGCATAACATGTAATATCTGTAATTATAAACTGTGTACTCAAGAATTAGATCTAGAAGCTACATTTATCAATGATTTAAGATTACAGTTGTCAGATTCAGAATCTAAAACTATTTCCATAACTTATACAAAAGACCATTCCTACTTTTCTGGTGAAAGTCAAATAAAAGTTTTAATACTTATATAGGTCTCTCTCTGTAATTATTTTTCCTTAACAGGTGACTCGTTTCCTGAAATGTCTCCTGGTAGCAGCTGTTCATTTACGTCTGGAACCCCTTCTTCTGATCATCGTTTTCCTGATTTCATAGCTGAGAAAAGTGGAAGTGGTTCATATTATGGTTATTCTGAAGATGACGATTCCTCCATAGACCGACCAATCAGAACAAATTCGGTTGGCTCTAAACCTGAACAATTTAGAAGCCGCAAGAATAGGTAAGTCACACATGTCTCATCTCAAGATTCTCTATTTTGGCTGTACATAATTGTTGCATGGTAGGAATTACTGGTTATGTAGTAGACATTAGCAGGTCTCTGATGCATGACACCAGCTTTGGGACTGTTGCTTGGCATGGCTAATTGTTGTTATAATACAGATACAAGTACTTCAAGAATTTTGAGAGATTGAATTGTGAATTCATCTTTATGGCTGAAGGTATTTATTGCACAACAAAACCTGTAAAGTTTAAGGTTATTGACATGATTGTCGGTGACTTGGCATAATGTTAGTTAACGGTTTTTCAAATTCTAGCACGATATTGCACTAAATTAAAATATCATCATCCATTCCTGTTTCTGTATTGATACATTGAAAAACCTAAGGATTGGTTTTTCTTAACTCCCACTCAGATTAGTTTTGCCATTACAGGTTTATACAGGCATTTGCAACTCTTCTTGTTTCCTATCACACGTCTTGTTGCAATAAATGTTGTGTAAAGTTTTCTTCATGATTGCAGTATCAACTCGATGTTAACACTTTAATGTTCCAACCCATCAGTGCATTCCAAACCATAAATGTTCCGGACATCTCAAGGTTCCACTCAGCGACGCCCGAGATGTTCATATTTTTTTTTTCTTTCACTTTGTTTGGGCCATAACTATAAATTTGGTGTCAAAATGTTCTGAAATGAATTTGCTGGAGTATAGATGCGAAACAAAATTATTATTTTTTCTAATAGATTATGTGTAACAGTGCTGAATATATGAATGTTTATGAACATTTAACATTCCTTATATTTAAAAACTACATATTTTTATTTATCATAATAAAAACATTTATGGACATGTGTGCATGATTGGTCTATGTTGGCGTAAAAAAAAAGATATAGCATTCATACTTCTCCAGTTGGTAATTTGCGAAGCATTGTAGAAATACTCGCAGGGAGAGCAATAATAATTGTCTTGACTGATAGGTAGTTGGCTGGGGTGATCTCTAGATATGGTCCCTTGATAACCTATGCACACTCTCTTCTTGTCCTAAACAAAATTTCAATAAAATAATAAGAAGAATAATAGAGATTTTTGGGAAATTTGAGATGGATGACGCATTTTAGCATCGTTGGAATGTTTATTGTTGGAGTACGGATGTGTGTCTTAGAATCGTTGGAACACTAAATTGTTTAAAACTTTAAAACTTTGAAAATTTGTACCAAGTTTTTAATAACTTGAGTTATTGCCTCATTTGGTAGCAGGCTTTTATGAGGTTGTATGGTGCCCATATATGCAATTGTCGATTAGATATATTTGATTTAGCGGAGCTTAATAATTAAATATTTGCTAAGGAGAAATTGTTCTCAGTATCACCATTATCATCTGTCATAAGTCTTCAGTTGTTATTATTGCTCATAACATAAGAGGCAAAATAGTTAAATGGATTGCTAGTTCGATGCAACAAGAGATCAAAACATACTGTTATAAATTAAATCAACTTGGCCTGGTGTAACATCTGGGTCTATGCTCATAACCTGATACAAAAGGGTAGAGCTAATTTAAACATGGAGCAAATGTAACTTTGGTGAGGCATAAGTGTAATTCAATAATCAGGCACATGATAAATTCAATTTAAGGTTTATAAGATTAAAGTTGTGCATATAGGATATTCTTTTCTGAGTTTCTCAATATTATGTTAAGCATCCTGCTGATAAGAGTACTAGAAGAGAATAGATATTCAGGCCTCGCTATTTATTCATAGATTCATCATGTTCTTATGATTTCATTGATTGCATTAGAAGAAAGTAAATGTTATTAGTTCCCAGGTATTTTTATGTATATATACAGTATATTAGAATGCTCCAAAATATAACAGACCTTTTAACATCCAGACCACATGCTTAGTTGTACAAATATTTCAAGTATTTATTATCTGGGAGAGCTGGTGTTGGAGGCTCCCTTCAATCCACACCAGGCCCTTGCGAGTCCTTGTAATCCTACCAGGAATTGTAGGCTCAAAACCTAGTCCCCTTTTAAAGAGGCACAGAGAGTGTGAGGATACTAGATGACCAAGAAAGGGCTAACCAGAAAGGTGAGCAAAACAATAGACAATCAGCATGGTAAGGTTAGCAAAACATAGGAAATGAGACACTTAAGATGAACCACCTAGTGAAGTAGGTCACCTGCCAGTTAACCTGCTCACTGCCAGGTGGCTATGCACCTAGCTACTGTTTCCAGCCTTGACTAGTCATTCATTTACCTGGTGTGCTCACCAAATGCTGGTGCTGTTATGCTTCCCCATTCCAGCCATTCTCTTTGAGGCATTTAATGATGACCAGGCATGTGCAGTTAAAGGTGGAGAGTAAATCACGCACATGTTGGGCTGTACGGTAGAGCGATGGGCTTGCTTCATGCAGGTCAGTGTTCAATACCCGATACCGTCCAGTTGGTAGGGCACCATTCCTTCTCCCTGCCCCATCCCAAACCCTTATTCTGATCCCTTCGAAGTGCTATATAGTCATAATGGCTTGGTGCTTTCTCCTGATAGTTCCCTTCCACTAGCCCTAAATCCTAAGGACTATGGTTGGAATGAGATTGATGGAATGTTAAGACTGTCCTGCATTACCCTGTAAGTGAACATAGATGGACAACCACACTTTAAGGGTTAAGGTATTTTATTGATTTCCATTGAAAATATACCCCGCCACGTTTGTAATTGTAAGCAACATGTGATCAGTTTGTCATTAAATAAAGATTCAAAATCAGGGGAAGCTATACAGTACTGTATATTGCTGCTAGAGTTAGGCAAGTTTAAAAAGTTAGTCAATTGTGTACATTATTGGACCAAATTGTACCAATTACTATTGTTTGTAGTCATTTTAATGTTTTCTGTATCACGTCGTGATAAGTATTGTCATATCAGGGGCTCTTGTGGCTCCCTGAAGCTATTGCACACTTCTACTCCATACTACTAGTAGTAGTAGTATACTACTAGGTGCCACACTACTAGGTGCCATCAGTCAGTTCTTATTGGCCTACTGAGAACCACAAACCAGATCCTGGCTCCATCAGAGAAGCACAGGGAGCAGTGGCACTATGAAAACCTTGTATGTAAAGTTATTCATGTCTGCCACCACCAAGGAAAGGCACCCAGAAAGTCAACAAAACAAAACAGACTACTGCTTGGTTAGAACTCCCCCCAGCTATGTAAACAAACGATTTAAAATTGGTGAAACTAACACGAGGTAGTTTGCCCCACCTCTTCCCCCTAGTTTGGGGGAAGGAGAGGGAGCACACCGATTCACCCGGCTGCTCTACCAGCTCTTATACGTTGACTCGATGTATCTGGAGGCCTGGTCGACGACCGGGCCACGGGGACGCTAAGCCCCGGAAGCATCTCGAGGTAAGGTAACCATCTGGTGCCGGGTCACTTGCTCAAGTCACTCTGGCTCCAGTCTCCCATTTTTTCATAAATGGTTTTTGCCTTTGAGGCTGTTCTTGTGAGCATTTGTGTCGGGTGAGCCAAACGTTTAGTGTCCACGGGGCTGCATGTGCTCGGGGATCCCTTTCCTGAGTGCTGCTTAACTGCTAGCATTGCACTGTCAGGGTTATCTTCCCTGGTGTGATCAGGATACACTCCCTTTGGGGGTATCCTTGCTGGTGGTGGCCCTCGCCCCTTAAGGTAATCCGGTTGTCTTGAACTATCAGTGTTTTCTTGGGTCTGGAGTGTTTATTGCTGGTTTGGCGTACTGTGGTTTGTGCAACCTACTCTGAGAGCCAAGGAAATACATGCTCCAGTTTACATGTCTGGTTGATGCTGCCATTCTCCTTAGTTGCTCATTCTCTGTGGTTCGTGCCAGAATGAGCAACTAGAGAAAACAGAGTTTGAACCTCTTGACCGGGTTCTTCTTTTTTCTTTAGTCCACTCTGTTTCCAGTGGCCCCTTTGGTCCGGGTTTGTTTTCCACAAGCGATGTTTTTGCTTTCTCTGGCTTCCAGTTGCCAGGTGGAGGAGCTTCTTGCTCTCCTTCAGCACCAGCTCCTTTGTTCTATTGGCCCTCTTGGGCTCTTCCTTTGGTTGCTGCCGGCTCATTTTCTGGGGGAGAAGTTGGTTGGCTTCTGATGCTTGGTTGTTTGGCCGAGGGTGCATCATGTGCCATGTCTTGTGGTGGCTTTATGCCACTGCCTTTGTTCTGCCAATTCTGTTTTAGTGGACTATTTGTGGTTTGCTCTATTTTCCCAGGATCCCTTGTTTCTCAGGTCATTTGCAATTTTCTATAGTCTAGCCAGCCTGTGGTCTTCCCTCATGCCCATGATGTGCAGCAGTCTGCAACCTTTCAGCAGTCTTTTCTTGTTTGTCTTGGGTTGTTCTTTGGGCGTGGGGGGTTTCTTCAATGTATTTTTCGTCAGGGAGATGGGGCAAACTAGCTTGTGCTAGGTTTACAAATCTTCGATCATTTGTTTACATTGTTAGGGAAGTTTTCTTGGCTATTTTGTGGTTAGTCTCTGTTCTAACCAAGCAGTAGTCTGTTTTGTTTTGCTGACTTTCTGGGCTCCTGCCCTTGATGGTGGCAGACATGAATACCTTTACATAAAAGGTCTACATAGTGCCACTGCTCGCTGTGGCTCTCTGAGGGGGGTCAGGATCTGGCCTCGTGGTCCCAATAGGTCAATAAGATATCCACAATTGATGGCACCTAGTAGTAGTAGCTTCAGGAAGCCACCAAGGCTCACTCAGAAATTGGTGTTTCATTACATTCAATACTTTTTTTTTGTTATACACTGTTAATTGTAATTGGATAAATGTACAATGTACAATAATTTATAAATAAAGTTCTTAATTTTGAACTGACTAAATTTGACTAGAAAGGGCAGTAGGACCTCATGTATAACACCTACGTTATAGCATACTGTTGTCATTGCAAGTGTGTAATCATCACAACCTCTGTACTCACTACACCACACTATATATCCCAAGTTATGCCAGTCCGTGAATACCCAGCTTCTGTCACACCATATCTATTTATTAACATTTCAATTATATTGCCACAAATTTAAATTCCTCCAGTATTCCTTGATACATTATAATTGTTGATGTTAAATACTTTGTTAAATACATCAACTTCCTCATGAAACCAACAAGTTCATTAACAATTTAATTCCTGTCAAAACAGTTTGATCCACCATTGTGCAATTGATCTATTTCGTAAATTACTTGCTGTATATTCCAAATGCTTGTACCTGCTGTAAAATATTACAGCTGTACCTGTCACTGTAACATTTTATTTTATTGCTGAATTATTTACTCTTATAGAAAGGGGGTTTAAAATATAATCTTTTTTGTTTAATTTTAGTGCTCAATAAGGTGAAAAGATTAACTTTTGACTTTAGTACAAGGGTTATTTCACATAATGGCCAACTTCAGTAAAATTTACATGCCTTTTTGGTATTTAGAATCAACTGATGTCCCTAATTTCAAAAACACTTCTTTACATATATATAGATACAATACTAGTTATAACAGCTAGGTTATTGAGACTCCAGGAGGTAAAGGTCATGCTCAAACTTAAAATGACCTTACACATAGCTTTTGGTGTATAGGTCAGATTGAATTGATACTCTGAAAATGTTGTGTTTTGCTTAGCATCAGTATAAATGTTCTGTAAAATTGAAGGGTATTGATTAATGGCTGCCCTACTTTCGTTATAAGGCCCTAGTGTCACTACATGATGGATATATGAATATAAACAGTTTAGAAGTTATTAGTCATTCACTTTGTTATTATTCAGGTCATTTGTTCTTGATAATTTGTGTGTATGCAGGTGTGTGTAACCGTTGGCTTGGGACTATGGGTAGATACGTATTGCTACGATTCCCTTGAACGCGGATTTATGGCACCATGTCACCTGGGAGCAGTGTGCTGCATGTTCTATGGCTCTCTGACCTGTCCTCTCACTAAACTGCTATAAGCTTCCACTGTATTTTATGCCATATTAAGGGTGATCTTTTTATTTTTTTTTTTTTTTTTTTTATTTTGAGGCTTGCCAAGCAATTCACTATAAACTTTCTTGCTCCTGTGGGTTTTTAAGTGGTTTCTTGTTTTAGACCGTTTTTCTTTTGTGTAGTAGTTTTGTAGAATTTTCTTATGTGGTATGTACAGTACAATTATACTTTATACTGTACTGTATATTTGTGTGTGCGCATAAATACCTAAGTTTAATTTTTTATGTTGGTTACAGGATAAGCGCTGCACTTGTGGTTTCCTGTCTTTTGTCATATGAAGTTCTGAAGCTTCCAGTGGTTTTGGGATACACTACCTCTCATTTATTTTATTCCATCTGTCTACCACACTTTTCCAAAAAGAGAACTTTTGTGTCTTCGGTAACTTCTATATGTACTGGATGACTTGTTTTTCACAATGAATACACACACTTCTTTTTTATCCTCTATCATCTCAAAGCTATGAGATCGGTATTTGTCCCACAACTGCTGGTATGATAACGTTCAGCAAGTACAGCATTGGATTTGATTGAGGTTGAATTACCTGAAGTACAGTACAGTGCATATCAGTTAACTTGATGTAATACATGTTAATACCTCCTGTTTTCTCTGGCAAAAGAGAACATGGATCCACGTTGTGTGACATGTGCTCTTCAAAAGCTTGACTCTGGCTGGGGTCTTCACCAGATGGTTTTCTCAGGTTTCAGTTTTAAATGAAGGACAGGGAATGAAGAGTAGGCCTGCTTGCCAATAGGCTGCACAGCTGGCTGACTTCCTGTTATGAAGTACCAATTGGCTGAGACATAGACCACTTCTTTTCTTTGGTGGAATACAATGTGGTCTATGAAGGATAACTTCCTCCCTCCTGCCTTCCCCCCAACCTCCCTACCACTTTCCCTTCCATCCCACCTCTTTCCCCTATCCAACCTACCCTTCCCCACTTACCCCCACCCCCCAAAAAATAGCATCTTCTCACTCTCCACTTCCATCCTGAAGCTAAAATTACTCTCACTCTGAGTCACCCAAAATTGGCTTAACAATTTTCTATCGTTCATATTAACTAAAAAAAAAAAATGAGATGCACAATCCCAGTAGTGTTCCCTGCGTTCCTTGAGATGAGGGCATTAACTTGACACCCAACATTACAAGGTTTTGACCGAAAGTGAAACTAAATTGGGCATCATGCAAATCGTGCATTTTTTTATATCTATCTATCTATCTTACCCTCTTCCCCCTCCCCATATCTTACCCCTCTTTCCCCTCCCCCTCTATCCCTCCTTCCATTCTCTTCTCCTCACACTCTTCATTCCTTTCCCCTCCCCTCCTTGTATAACTCACTGGCTAACACTTATTGAGTGAGTAAAAGCACAAGTGCCACTTTACCCAGTTCACACACAGGGAAGGCATGACTCGTGTACACCAAATTCATTCTGCTTGATTTACAATCATGCCCTTATTTGAGAACAAGTTTTAGGTTCTGCAGTTATACTTCCCAAATATGTTGCACACTTTTTTTTTTTTTTTTTTTTTTTTTGAGGGGGGAGGATTTAGCATGTATTCTATCGTCATTACAACAGTTTTGTGCAGTGTGAAGTATTCCCGAAAGACATTACTCACACTGTATGGGGGCATACTGTAGTTTTCTCTGTGTTTAAGAGAATACAGCATTGACGTATTTACCTGGAACGTTTTACTCGAATAACCTCTGCTGGGGTAGTGCTGTAAATACACTTTTAATTTCAGTTTTGTTTTCTAATTTTTGTATATATTTCTCTCAGATACTATGTATAAATATGAAGATGCAAATGCTATTGTTTAGAAATGTATAGTACTTAAAGTGTTCAAACATGACTGCATTTACTAACATGTAACTTTTATCTTGATTAGCATAGTCATAAATACTGTAATATATTATGAAAGTTGTACATAGCTTATTGGAATGGATGATGACTTTATAACTGTGCACACCATAAGTGAGGGATTATATTTGTGAAACTGACATTTGCTTGCCCCACTAATACTGAGGTTGTGCTAAATGTTAAGAACTATGAGCTATGAGTGGTATGTGTTATAGAATGTAGTGAATGTGGGCAATAGGAGGTAATTCTGTTCTGTGGTGCCACTGCTTTTGTGTTGCTAAAATAGTAACTGTAGTAACACTGGTCCTGTTGCTCCTTCCTCCTGCCTTCTCCATCCCTCCTGTGTGGGTCAACAACAACTATAGACTGGAAGTGAGCCCAGCAGAACCTGCCCGTGTTCGAGCCTTCTCTGTGGGGTCACGTGTCAGCCTCAGGCTTGCAGGTGGGAGAGCCGGCCAGGTAGCAGGTGGTGCCATTGCGGCAACATCTGTGTCTGTCGCCGAGTTCTCTTCTTCTATTAAGGAGAGGGGAAAGCAAGTGAAAAGCAAATCAACAAGGTAGGGATGTTATCTCTGCACAGCAGATTGATTCACTTCAGGAGACATGATAGCATACAAAGGAATATGATCTTGAGCTCTGTGGGTTGTAGTCTTCAGAAACAGGTTAAAGGGGTTTTGATGTCTGTCTCATCTCTTTGAATTTTGTTTTTTATTATTGTCTGATGGTATGCCTTGAGCTGCTCATTTAGTATCCTGAAGCCAACTGTAGTTTTGCAGTTTAGCATAATATTTTCATAGAATAGATGTTAAATTGTAAGCTTTGAAAGTGCCTTGTAAGATACTGTAATTTTTTTTTTAAAGAGTAGTTTTATTTATTATTTATTGCTTTGGAAATACTGTATTGAGATAGTTATGGAAGTTTATTTTGAGTTTACCTGTGAAATATAGTTTTTGCTTGCTTTACTAGAGATGCTTAGTGGTTGCCCGAAACCATGATCACTAATTAGCCGCATGACCAGCTGTTACTTCATTCTCTTCATATGGGGCTTAATATAGAATGTATTTTCCATCATGTATTGTATAGTGTCATCTAGTAATTTGGGTTAAATGCTCATCAATTATATAAACTCAGGTAAGTTCTGAAATAAACTTTTGAATTACTTGTAGGGTTTGTAGAGTTGGAGTATTTACTTTAAATGAATATCAGGTGAATTATTCCTTCTTGCAGGAAAGGTTGCATTTGAATCGTCAGATTTCTCCGTCACGCTCATCAGGAAAATACTGTACTGTACTGTAATGATATTTTGTGATTGGCACCTTTTGCAAATTTTACTATGCAATACATGTACTGTACAGTCTGCTTATAATCGATTGGATCAGAGTTTTATTCCTGGGCAAAGTGAGATATATGGGCACGATTTCTACCACCTTAGTCCTCTGTTCACCTAATGCTCTATAGCTAATTTGTTTATGCTCTTGGCTTTACAGCCTTCACAACTATAATTTGTACTAAGCTCCAGGGTGCTCAGGTAGACATCTTTAGCCGACCCCATACTTGTTAATCAGGAGTGAGTACAGAATATTGTATTCGCCTATTTGTGTCTGCAGGATCGAGCATTGACTCTAAGATCCCTCCTTTCTAGCCACCAGTTGTTTATAGCACTGACTTCTGTCCTATTTCCCTATCATATCTAGTTTTAAAATTATGAATAGAATTTGCTTCTACAACCTGCAACCTGCTCCTCAAGTTCATTCCATTTTTCCACTTCTCTCACTCTAAAAGAAATTTCCTAACATCTGTGACTCATCTGAGTTTCCAGCTTCCACCCATGTCCCCTTGTTCTATTAGTATTCAGTGTGAATATTTCATCTCTTTCACTGTCAGGCGCTCTTCATACCCCATCCCTCATAACTCTGGGACGAGCCTTGTTGCAAACTTCTAAACTTTTCCAGTTTCCTTGTGTTTCTTCAGGTGGAAGCTCCATGATGGGGTAGCATACTCTAAGACTAGTCTCATGTAAGCAGTGTAAAGCACCATAAATGCCTCCTTCCTTAGGTTTCTGAATGATGTTCTAACTTTTGCCAGTATAGAGTATGCTGCTGTCATTATCCTATTTATATGTGCCTCAGGAGTTAGATTAGGTGTTACGTCCACTCCCAGGTCTTTCTCAAATTGTCACAGGTAGGCAGTTTCCCTTCATTGTGTACTGTCCCTTTGGTCTCCTATTACCTAATCCTGTTTCCATAATTTTACATTTGCTAGTGTTGAACTCCAGTAGCCTGCAACCTGTTCAAGTCCTCTTGGATCCTACAATCCTGATCTGTCACAACTCTTCTTATTAATTTTTGCGTCATCCACGAACATCGACATGTAGGACTCTACTCCTGTAAATGTCATTTACATATATTAGAAATAGATCTGGTCCCAGCACTAATCCTTGAGGTACTCCACGTGTTACTGTTCACCAGTCCGACTTCTTGCCCCTTACCGTTACTCTCTGGCTCCTGTTAGGTAGTTCCTTACCCATGCTAGGACCTTTCCACTTACTCCTGCCTGCTTCTCAAGTTTGAATAGCAGTCTCCTGTGTGATACTGTATCAAAGGCCTTATTTCATAAATTAATGCACTGTATATGTGTGAGTGTAAACACATGCTATTGTATCGGCAAATAACTTTACCACCAATTCTCATAATTTGGTATACACATGGATTTGATTACTCTGTAATTTGCCTAAGTTACTTGGAAACATTATTGTGCAGTTGAAGGGTTAAGAGACATCTCTTTCCTCTTGATAATTGATGTCTATTCTACTCGAGGTAAAATCAAAAGAATAATAGTTGAAATTTTTTGAATACTGTAATGGGGAACAGTGCATTAATACCAAGCTAGCATAGAACAAAAGATCAGATGGTCTTAAAATGACAGGTGGTGGTAGTATTGATCCACGTACGAAAAAGTCATTCTATATTTAATGTGAACATTTTATAGTACAGTACAAGTACTGTACTGTAAAATAAGAACATATTTATACAGTAATATATAAATTGGTTAGAAAGTGTGGTTTGAAGTCGGTCCTCTTCTTGGTGGTCTTTCAGAATAACAGTCCTCTCATCTTGATTTGAGTGAACTATTCCAGTAGTGGTCCACTGTCTTGAGGCTTGGAATCTTTGAGGTTGTACTGTACATATATGTATTGTAATAATGGTAAACAGCATTACAATTATGAGTTAACAGGTTCAGTACAGCAAAATGAATGAACGAGTCCAATTTTTAATATATAATCATTTTTCATTGTGCATTCTTGCTTGCCTATTTTTTCTGGACTGTTGCCACCCCATGAAAGTGGAAAACAATAATGATGACAATCACATGTATAAATAAGAATTTCACACATACTATATTTTAAACATGTTATGGTGTGTATCATATTTTGCACAATAATTTTGTTTTGCCCTACATACACAATCCTTGGTAGAATACAGTCAAAAATGAGTTCAATAATGCTGCTAATGAAGTATTATTGAATGCTATATAATGCATTAACATAATTGTTTGAGGCTAGTGCTTAAAATTATGCCGCCAAGTCTAGTTATATGTAGAGCATATCAAGAGTTTTGAAAGCATTCTAGTATGTGAATTATACAATCTACTAGTGAAGCAGTACACTGCAACTTACAAAAAGGCACTTCATATCTTAAATTAATACAGTGATTAATATTTTCTAAAATGGTTTTTATTGTGCATGGCATGCTTTACTATAGCACCAAGAGCTGTTCATTTTCTGTTTGTGAATCATCTTTTGAGATATTAATATTTGAAAATACAGTTCATAAGTAATTGAAGGAAAGTCAAAATATAACATCTTACTGGAATAGTCAAGTTAATTTAAGTTAATCTCAAGGATTTATTATTTACATTTTCCTGAGGTGGAAATAATTGTCAAAATGGGTAATTAGGGTTAAAAAAAATTAAATTGGGGTGAAATTATTACAAATATTGATGAGTTAAGATTATTGCTGGCACGGTAGCATTAACAATACAGTATATTTTTTTGTAGATAAAATGAGACGGTAATGAAGGAGTCAAGTCACTTCAAAACAATTAGATTGGATACGAGAGCAAAGTGTCTTCGGTAGGAATGTAAAAGATAGGAACATTCAGTGGTACAGTAGCAGGACGGCTCTCTCTGTTGTAGTGTTTCATTAGGTAATATACTTACTTTCAAATGCAGGAATTTCTTAAGGCAGTGAGTCTATTTTGAAGATTCAGTAATCTAATTGTTGACATGTTTCTAACATTTTCTTGATGCTACTTATTATGTATCTTCACAAATTCTGTCATCTTTAATTTCATGTTTATTGAATACAAGCTAATAAATATACTGTATTCAATCAAATACTGTATATTTATTAGTGCCCAATGTTCAATGGAGTACAATGCATCAATTATTTATTGATGCATTGTACTTGTATATCTATTTCATTTGAGAGTCAACCAAATTTGTAATTTATATTTCTGAAATACTGTAGAAGTGGATACAGTTGATCCTTATTTTATAGGTTCCTTTAATATTAATACCATGACTTATCCCCGTAAACTGTGTTAGCATGCCTTATGAATACTAATGTCGGGAATTTTGTTAATCTTTATTAATATTATCTTTTTCTCATTTGCAGTGCTCCCATATTGGGATCGTCTCCAATATCTAACTCTTGGTCAGGCACTCCGGGAACCTTCTTCAGAGGCTTCCTTCAAGCTCGAAGCCAAGAACGCAACAATGACCTGATGGAATTTGACTTTTCAAAAAATAAAAGTTGTGACAGTATATCTGCTGATAAGGAGAAGAAGAGTAGTAGCTTTGAAAGCATTAAAAGAACTCTAACTGGTCAAAGACATCGCTCGAATTCTAAATCCTCAGGGAATGGGAAATCTGTATTCGATTCCATTAAACGAGACAAGAAGAAATCCGAGAGCGAGTTATCGACCAAAAGTATTGAGCTTTCTGAAAGAGGGAACTACTGTGAACTTGAGATCAACCCAAGCCCTCATCGCAAAACTTCAGATTCTTATGATGGTTACCTTCCCATGAAACCTGCCATAAATACTTCCCAGCCTTTATGTACCTCAGAATACTTGGATATGAACAGCAGAGAGTCTTTGATTAGACAAACCTCATTTGCAGATCCTTATGTAGACATGTCTAGAGGCAGTGATCGATATGGATCTTCATGTTCTTCAGGGTCACATGATGGCTATGTGGATATGAGTCAAGGAAAAGGCTTAGGACCACTTCCTCTCGCCTCATTATCTTCATCATCCACAACTTCAAACAGCTCATCTTCCATTGGTGCTAGAGTCAGAAAGATTTCGTCCACTTTAAATCCATTGTCTTCCCAAGACAGTACTTCACAATTGGACGAATATATGCCTGTAGACTTTCGTAGTAATACTGACCCTTCTTCTCATTCAATTGATGGGGAGAAACATAAGAAAAAAGAAAAGAAAAATAGTAAGAGAAAATCATTTAAGGAAAGCACTAAAAGAAAGAAATCTGAACCAATAAATGTTGTTGTAAAAAGTGGTGATAGTGAAGTATTACAGGAAATGAGCAAAAAAGGTACAAGTCCCTTATCATCCTTGAGCACTCTACTAGGCCGTAAAAACTCCGGCACACCCCCTAAGACACCTCTCTCCCCCACTGGTAGTCCACTACCAAAATCTAATCGAGGCACTCCTAGTCCATTTTCAAGTTTGACTCGTAGTAAAAACAGGGATGATAAGGAGGGTCGTAAAGACAGTGTTGGTAAAGACAATTCTGGGGGAATATCCTCCAGTATAAACTCAGGCATTGGCACAAGCTGCATTGAAGAATCGAGTATAGAGACTGAAGAGAGTGCGATACCAGGTGATAATCTGAGTGCCACTGCATCTTCACAGACAGTTCCTAACAGTGGTGAACAGCAGAGTAAACAAACAATGAGTGTTAATGATTGCAGCAAGAGAATTTTGGGGATATGTGAGGCAGCATCTCAGGCAGACACAAAGCAGGAGGAAAGTCAGGGGTCTGTTGGCTTGGAATCATTATTAGGTAAAGGCAGCACCAGTCAGCAGCTGGCAAATACCTGTAGTAGTGATCAAGGGGCATATGTTAATTTAGCACTAGGTACTTGTGATAAACTTATAACAGAAAGTAGACAGCGTAAAGTATCCAATACATCCTTGTCAGATTATATGAATATATCTCCAATGGGATCCAGTAAAGTTTCAGAAGAAGATACACACAAACCTCATGATTATGTTAATATGTGCCCAGGGGGACGTTCTGAATCTGTTACCACTTCTCAGACACCTCCGCAGCTTCCTCCTGCTTTGAATAAGATTCCTCCTAGTAGCAAGACCAATATCCCTGGGAATAATGATGCAAGTGATAAAAAAAGCCTTAATATAGGAAAAGGGATTTCTAGACAACATAGTCGAAAAGATAGTGAAAAATCTAATACTGTTAGTAGTGGTGGGGACTCGGAAGGTGGTAGTGGTGGTGAGAGTGGTTATTTACTTATGACTCCTGGGCAACCACCACCGCCACCACCAAAGCCCTCATCTCCCCGAATGGTAGCTCATCGCCCAGACATTCCCCCAGCATTACTTGGTGTTCGACCAGACCCTTCTCTCACTGCCACTCTTGAACGACTAAATTTTGTTAGCTCTGCTGGCAACAGTTCTAGTGAACGGTGTCGAAGTCATAGTGGGCCTGGAGCTCCAGAAGGAAGTGCTGTAAGCAGTGAGGTGCGTGTTAAGAAACAACTTTCAGAACCTAGAAGTGGGTCTGGATGTCAGGGTAACAATGGGCGTGCAGCTTCAGCATGCTCCTCACCAGTGTCATATTCACCACCTACATCACCTACTTTAGGTGGGTCTGTATCATCTGTATCCTCTCTTAGTGAGGGTGGCCTTTCCTCTGCATCTTCCACCTGTACTGTGGTTAACGTGGGTGTGGGGCGGCGAGAGGGTGGGTCAAGTGGATCAAGTGGAACAAGTCGTGTCTTAGATATGCCAGCAGATTTAGCAGCTCATTCCACTGTTCCTTCTGTGACCAGTCAGCCATCCTCGGCAATTATTGGCAGTGGCAGTGCAGACAGTGGACTAAATTATGTCTCATTAGATCTAGGTCCAGCTAAATGTGAAAGTGTCAGGCCTTCACCCCGAACTGGGCGTCGAGCTGTGAGTGGGACGGTTACTCAAGGAGCATGTACTCAAGACCCTGTGGTTGGAGAGGAAGATGAACCCCTCAGTTATGCTCAAATAGATTTCACTAAGAGTGAGGGTTTGCGGACTACCTCCCTCTCGCGTGACCACCGACATTAACATTCTCCTGCCTTCCTTAATTCACATGCCTCCCTTTCAGTTCCCACACCCACGCAAATCAAAACTGTATAAATGATTTATAAAATTCAGTAATTAAGTTAATAAAAGTTAAAACATGTGAGTACTATTTATTGTTTTATTGTTTCATCGACTCCTACATATGGCAGTAAGGTTCTTAAGTTATTGGCAAATAAGATGACAAAATCTGAGGAAGTGGTATCAGAACTTGGTAAAGATCGATTGATTGGTATGTGTATTGTAAGTGAGAAGAGATTTTGCTGCATATTTTAATGAGTCATGATATTTGAATAAATGTGTGCAATGTATAGGTAAGAACTTAAAACTTAACAGGACATTGGACAAGTCTTTCAGAATATAGTTGCATTCATGATAGTTCAGGGCCATAAGTCTCTAGGCTCAGTCCTTATGAGCCGAGACTTTTATAGCTCCTTGTTTAATGTATATTTGTAGTGAATAGTCAGAATATAACAGAATAACATAGGATGTTATGTAGACTATTTGTTTTCATAGAATGCTTTTTAACATAATAATGAGTGAATTTAAAACCAATCACTATTACAACCTTATGGGCTTAGTAGTTTTTCAAAATTACTTGAAGCCAATGAAGTATCAGGTGTCCAGTTAGTCACGTGAAGTACGTGAAGGTATCAATGGCCCCCTGACACTCAGCCTGGTCAGAGACTTCAGACACTTTCTTTTACATTCCTTTTTCTTTCAATAGTCGGTTTGACTGCATCTTGTATGTCTGACCAGGGCTCCTGGTTGGTGGTCTGGTTAACCAGGCTGTTGGACACAGCTGCTCACAGGCTGGTGTATGACTCATAGCCTCGTTGAGCAGGTATCCTTTGAAGGCGTTTTATCAATTTCTCTTTTGATGACTCTTGAGAGGTCAGCCAATTATGCCCCTTATATGTGGAGGGAGCATGTTGAAATGCCTTTGGTCTTTAATACAGTAGTTTTGTTAGTGATTAGCTCTCGACTGTTACTACTAATTTTTTCTACACACACACACACACACACACACACACTGGTTGGTGGTCTGGTTAACACACACACACACACACACACACACACAGACACACACACACACACACACACACACACACACACACACACACACACACACACACACACACACACACACACACACACACACAGAGGGCCTCGTAGCCTGGTGGATAACACACACACACACACACACACACACACACACACACACACACACACACACACACAGAGGGCCTCGTAGCCTGGTGGATAGCGTGCAGGATTCGTAATTCTGTGGCGCGGGTTCGATTCCCGCACGATGCAGAAACAAATGGGCAAAGTTTCTTTCACCCTGAATGCCCCTGTTACCTAGCAGTAAATAGGTACCTGGGAGTTAGTCAGCTGTCACGGGCTGCTTCCTGGGGTGTGTGTGGTGTGGGGGAAAAAAAAAATAGTAGTTAGTAAAACAGTTGATTGACAGTTGAGAGGCGAGCCGAAAGAGCAAAGCTCAACCCCCGTAAAAACACAACTAGTAAACACAACTAGTAAACACACACAGACAGACAGAGTGAGTAGGCTGCCGCCGGTGGGGGGGAAACACGTGTTAATGAGGTCCACGGAAATTCGTCAAATACTCGGGACATTGAAGGAGTATAGAAGCTAGATCATAGTATTTGGCCTCTCGCAGTGTGTAGCAAGCAAGGTGCAACGTAGCATAGTCATATTTTTTTTCTCAAGCAATAGAGCGAAGAAACCAAAGTGGAGCTAATGGCAGCACCTGTGCATGTACAGAGTGGAGAACCAAGTGGAGCGACATGACCTGATGGCCAGCGTGGGAAAACCCGCCGTGGAACTGCCTGGTTGTGCTTGTTGGGTGGTGACTGGTAAATGCCCTTCTCTCAAGTCTTCAACAAGTGTGCAAGGTTTATATAATATCATATAGTAGTCACATATAATGCATTTCATTCGATAATAGAATGGTAATCTTGATAGATTGATAGAGAATGAGGTACTAACCTCACTGTGAGCTCAAGTTGGGACCTAAATTGTACTGTGTGTGTTGGGATTAACAAGGGATTAACAAGTCAGGGTAACACTGCCCCCCCCTTACGTCAACTGGATACCATAGATAGTGACATACAATATCTCTATCTCTCTCCTCCCCCCCCCCTTCCCCACACCCCCTCCCTCCCTCCCTGTTGGGACACGCCCTCTTCCCCTCTCTCCCTTGCTCTCTTTCTCCCTCTCTCTCTCTCTTGCGCTCTCTTGTTCTCTCCAGTTCTCTCTCTGTAATTCATTTCTTTGCTGTCATGTGTAAATGTTCCATCATCCTTGTGCAAGGGCCCAATGTGCTCTTCCTTGGTGTGTCTTGCAGGAGAGGTGGGTGGTAGGGAGAGAAGTTGGGGGGGGAGACATAGGTAAATAAAAAGTAGACATGTTGGGTTCCTCCCCCCCCCCCCCCCTCCTCCTCCTCCCAGTAACTTAAGAAATAAATAGTTGGTGCGATCAAAGGTCATGAACATGGCCATGAATCACAATCATTCAGTTATACTTCTTTAAGTTAAATAAAGAAATTTACAAAGTTAAATTTTATTAATAAAGCACAACAAAAGGAATATACAATTACCTAGCTAATTACTGTCATGAAACCTTGCAGTAAAACAAGTTTCAAAACTTGCTGTATCAAAAGACAACATTAATGTAATATATAAACAACTGAGCATTGCTCCATATAGAAAATATTTGATGATCAGCAGGACATTACAAATGAATTTTTATAATACAATGACAAAATGAAGGGATCAATATTGAGTGGAATGTCAGTAGATAGTGCACGAGTTGAGCCTTAAGTGAACTCTAATATGTAAAGGTGTATAGAATCGAGTGCAAGAGCACTAGAAATATGAAATATAGGAATGATGAAAATATCACAATTGTTCATGCCAAACAACCCGAGTGTGTCAGCACACTCATCGCTCCCAACATAATTCTGTGCTGCTCCTGCTGCAGGTGAACATCAATGTACAGTACTAGAGTGAGTGAACAGTGTAAATTATATCCGTATAACAAGCAGTGGAGCCATTACAATTTTTTGTGAATTAAAATTTATTATATTAAAAGGGGCTCACTTAGGATATTTTTTTTTTTTTTTGCAGCTTAAATATTTTTTAAGTTTACAAGTCAATTTTTTCTATTAAATAGTAATTTCATTAGAATAATCATTGTCTTAGACAAGATTTATGAAGCGATGAGTGTACTGTACAGATATCAGAAGACCTTAGAGATCCTGTGGGCCATAGTTTTCCGCTACCGAAAGTGACATCAATAAAGTAGCAACAGGCCCTATATATGGGGCGATGGGTCAAAATATGACCCATCGCCGTTTTCAGTAATTGGCATATTTTCGGTATAAAAAGTCGTAATTTGAAACTGAAAATAGGTGCAGAGTCAGAATTCGGCTCAAGAATCACGCTCAGGAGTCAAATTTCCGACATTTCAGACATTTTGAAAACTGCAGGGGGGTTTGGGCAAAATATGACCCATCGCCGTTTTCAGTAATTGGCATATTTTTGGTATGAAACGTCGTAATTTGAAACTGAAAATAGGTGCAGAGAGTCAGAATTCGGATAAAAAATCACGCTCAGGAGTCAAATTTCCGACATTTCAGACATTTTGAAAACTGCAGGGGGGTTTGGGCAAAATATGACCCATCGCCGTTTTCAGTAATTGGCATATTTTCGGTATAAAACGTCGTAATTTGAAACTGAAAATAGGTGCAGAGAGTCAGAATTCGGATAAAAAATCACACTCAGGAGTCAAATTTCCGACATTTCAGACATTTTGAAAACTGCAGGGGGGTTTGGGCAAAATATGACCCATCGCCGTTTACAGTAATTGGCATATTTTCGGTATGAAACGTCGTAATTTGAAACTGAAAATAGGTGCAGAGAGTCAGAATTCGGCTCAAAAATCACGCTCAGGAGTCAAATTTCCGACATTTCAGACCTTTTGAAAACTGCAGGGGGGTTTCGCAAAATATGACCCATCGCCGTTTTCAGTAATTGGCATATTTTCGGTATGAAACGTCGTAATTTGAAACTGAAAATAGGTGCAGAGAGTCAGAATTCGGCTTAAAAATCACGCTCAGGAGTCAAATTTCCGACATTTCAGACATTTTGAAAACTGCAGTGGGGTTTGGGCAAAATATTACCCATCGCCGTTTACAGTAATTGGCATATTTTCGGAATGAAACGTCGTAATTTGAAACTGAAAAAAGGTGCAGAGAGCCAGAATTCGGCTCAAAAATCACGCTCAGGAGTCAAATTTCCGACATTTCAGACATTTTAAAAACTGCAGGGGGGTTTGGGCAAAATATGACCCATCGCCGTTTTCAGTAATTGGCATATTTTCGGTATAAAAAGTCGTAATTTGAAACTGAAAATAGGTGCAGAGAGTCAGAATTTGGAAAAAAATAACGCTCAGGAGTCAAATTTCCGACATTTCAGACATTTTAAAAACTGCAGGGGGGTTTGGGCAAAATATGACCCATCGCCGTTTTCAGTAATTGGCATATTTTCGGTATAAAAAGTCGTAATTTGAAACTGAAAATAGGTGCAGAGAGTCAGAATTTGGAAAAAAAATCACGCTCAGGAGTCAAATTTCCGACATTTCAGACATTTTAAAAACTGCAGATGGGTTTGGGCAAAATATGACCCATCGCCGTTTTCAGTCACTGGCATATTTTCGGTATAAAAAGTCGTAATTTGAGACTGAAAATAGGTGCAGAGAGTCAGAATTCGGATAAAAAATCAAACCGTGCGATTTTCGCAGCTGGTGGCCAAAAATCGAGCAAATTTCGCCGCTACCGGCCAAAAACCGCGCGATTTTCGCCGCTAGCGGCCAAAAACCATGCGATTTTCGCAGCTGGCGGGCAAAAATCGCGCGATTTTCGCCGGTAGCGGCCAAAAATCGGGCGAATTTCGCTATTGGATGTCAAACATCGACCGATTTTCGCTGCTACCGGCGAAAATCGCGCGATTATTGGCCGCTAGCGGTGAAAATTGCACGGTTTTTGGCCGCTAGCAGCGAAAATCGCGCGATTATTGGCCGCTAGCGGCG